TATCGTTCATATCCAGCAGGTTGAAGTAGACTCGTACAGAGCTGGACAGACCTCCTCCGTCCCGGGCCTGCGCCGTCAGGATGAAGTGCTGCTGAGACTCGAAGTCCAGTGGACGGGTGACGCTGAAGACGCCGGTGATGGGGTTCAGGAGGAAGGTGGAGTCCTCCTCATCCTCCTCGATGGAGTACGTGATCTCACCGTTTGATCCCGAGTCCGAGTCACTGGCCAGAATTGCCGCCACGATCGAACCTCGATGGAAAACCACCACAGAAAATGAGTGATTATGCAACAATATTCACTGACCAATCACAATCAAGCATTCCAGAGATGTTTCTGTGTTTTCCTCTGCTCATCATTGCACCTCATAGAGAAGATTAACCTGTAGTTTTGGCACAATTTGCTTCTCTGATTGGTGGAGAGTTCTCTGCAGAATCATGGGTAATGTAGTTTTCACCAGGAATTCTGCTGTTAAACTGTTAAAATATGAGTTGAAATAATGCGGTCTGACGGCTTTAACAAAAGCATTTATCATCGATTAACGACCTCAGAGCTAAAAAAAAAAAAAAAGGCTAAAAATCAATTCCCCGATGGAGAAAATTAACGGGATTTTTACTTCTGGAACTGACTGTTGCACTATTTTCTTGAGACTCTCTGATTGGTGGAGAGTTCTCTGCAGAATCATGGGTAATGTAGTTTTTCGCTGTTAAACATGACTATTTAAAAAAAAAAAAAAATGCTCAAATAATGATGACTGATGGCTTCAACGAAAGAAAATACCATCAATTAACGATCACAGCAGGTTTCTCTTTGACATGACAACTAAAAATGAACTAAAACTGGAAAAAAAAATACAAATGAATATTAGTAATATAACTAATAATATTTAATGAATAACTAAAACTGAAATAAAATAAATGATTATTACGAAATGGTAAAATTTAATTAAAACTAATAAAAATACCAAAAGCACATAACAAAATGAAACAAAAATGTAATAAAACTATAATAGTATATAAATAATACTAAAATAAATGATGTGCAAAATATATGTGGTTGTGTATAACATCACATATTAACTGAAATTAATTGGGAAAAAAAAGCTAAAATAAAATATAAATATTAGAATTTGAGAAAATTAGAAATGTTGCCTTGGCAATTTACTAAAATTCGTTTAAGTTGAAGCATTAAAATTACTAACTGTAAATAAATAAACTAAATAAAAATAAATAATATCAATTAATATAACTAAATAGTAAAATTTTGATAGTAATTTAATAACAAAAAACTTAAAATAATAAAAAAATGACAAGATAATTTAATAATTTAAAATGATTTAAGCTATAATTTAAAATTATATCTGAAAATATATACAAATAAAAACGAATTCAAAATATTACAAATATTAAAAATGAAAAATCAACTCACAAAATGAATGGAGTTTTTTCTTCCAGAAGCGACATTCTAGTAGTGTGTTAATGTTATTCAGAATTGAGCATCTGAATTGTAATGCAGTAAATTCAGCTTTTAATAAGTGCCAATTCAGGGTCCGCATGTGTAAAACTTCTCAGAAAAGCTTTGACTTAAGTGTAAAAAAATTCTTAGTTACAAGTAGGGCTTTTCTACAAGTAGGAGACTTTTATAAAGAAGCTAAAAGCAACTTTTAGTAAAGTCTTAAGGCCCGTTCACACCAAGCACGATAACTGTAAAGATAGCCATAAAGATATAGTTCTAAAAATCGTTCTCAATATTAAACGCTAGCAGAGTCCACACCACAGCTATAACGATAAAGACACCGAGAAACGATATCGTTGGAATCAATTCCAGAACGATTTTTTCCTGGCTGATGAACGATACAAACATTGACAGCCAATCAGAATCCATCCTGCTGTCACGAGCTTGAGAATTTAAAGCGACAGACGCGTGTACGCTTAGAATAAACAGACGATATTGTTCGTTGGTGTGGACGATAATATCATTATCTTTATAGTTATCGTTCTTGGTGTGAGTGGGCCTTAAGACTGACCCTTAAAGGTGGGGTAAGCGATTTTTTCAAAAATGCTTTAGAAAACTGAGTCGGGCCGACTAGCAAACAAACTTGTAGCCAATCAGCAGTAAGGGGCGTGTCTACTCATGATGTGGAGGAGAGCGCGTTCAGTCCGAGCCGAGCGACAGAAAGATAAGAGATGGCGGATAAAAAACAAAAGAGGAAATTGGCTGCGGAACAAAAGAAGGCTTAAGGCAATAAGGCAAAAAGTAGGACCCGTGTAAATATCGAATCAGCTTTCCAGTGCTGGAGAGAACTCAAGGAGCGGAAGGCCTGCGATCGGACGCTGAGGTTGCTTTGTTTCTTCTCGAAAGGTGAGTAACACCGTGTCTGCGCCGCAACAGCTAAAGTCTGTCCTAGTACACTGGAAAGCGACCGTTGAAAATCATTTGAAATTTGTGTCAATGCGTCATAAATAGAACGCCGCAGCAGTTTTCTGTCGGGGATGTGTCGTGTCGTGCCGTGCCGCATCCAGTGTAGACCATAGATATGTGTATATAGATATATATCTGTGGTTTAGACCGCATCACTGATTAGGAGTTGTATAGTATTTTGCCGCGCCACTCGTGTCCGATGTAGACACAGTGTAACATTGGTTTTGCTTTGTTTCACAGAACTAATCGTTGCCTGGGTTGCGTATGTATGTGTGGGGCGGAGCTATCAAAATAGGAGCGAGACCCTTTTGGGGTAGGGTTTGTTTTGGTGATTTCAAATGTCAACATTGGCTACGAGAAATCACTTACCCCACCTTTAAGTGTTGACTGGGGTGAGGTAATAAGAGCCAGTTCGGTTGATGCGAGAGTGGGTTCAGTAGTTCTGACTGCAGATGATCAGATGATGGTGTTGTACCTGCGCTGGTGTCCTCGGGGATGTCGAAGGAGTAGACTGCGCGTGAGAAGTGTGGCGTGTGATCGTTGACGTCGCTGACGGTGATGTTGATCCGTACATCGGAGGACTGCAGCCCGTCGTCGGCTCGCACCAGCAGCGAATACTCGGATCTGCGCTCGCGGTCCAGACGCCGGGTGTTCATCAGCTCGCCAGACTCGGGATCGATGCGGAAGCTGTCGTCTGCGCCGCTGATGATGGAGTACGTCACCAGAGCGTTCGCTCCCTGCACACAAACCACCGGCACGTGATCATCTGACCTCATTGCATATCATGGATTAATGTGATCACACGATCATGTAGCTTCAGTCACAAGTAGGGTTGCAAAAAGGTGGAACATTTCCAGTAAATTTCAGAAACTTTCCAGGATTTTTTGGAATCTTCCAGGGATTTTTGGAAAGGTTTCAGAAATGTTCTACCCCTTTGCAACCCTAGTCACAAACCTCATTCAAACGGGAAAACAAGATTGTGTTTCTGCCCCCACTGGCAGACATTTGTTCCTTGTTTTAAGCAAGAACTTTATTTTGATCAGTTTTTCAGAAAACAAGAATGATTGGATATTTGTACTGAAAAACAAGACACAAATACTGAGAAAAGCAATCAAATCTGTGCGTAATGTCACACGTTTAATTGAAATAATGCTGAAATAAAATAAAATATAAATACTAGATGAAAAACTTTAAAAGAAAATGAGAAATGCTGTCTTTGGCAACTTACTAAAATAAGTTTACATTGAAGCATTAAAATGACTGGAAATAAATAAAAACTAAAACAAGAAAATAAATTAATATTAATTTATAAAAAATAAATGGTAATATTTAATTAAAAAAACTAATAAAAATGTCAAAATCACATAATAAAATGACAAAAAAATTAAGAAAATTAAAATGGAAATAAATAAAGCTAAACTAAAACCAACACTGAAATAAATAAAAAAATCATATAAATAAATAGTAATATTTAATAGTAATATTTAATTAAAAAAATAATAAAAACTGTCAACAGCACATAACAAAACTACAACAAACGACAACAAAAAAAACTACTAAAATTAAAATGAAAACTGAAAATATATATAAAAAAAGATAATTCATATTCAATATTATATAAATAATACTAAAATAAATAATCTGTACAATAAACGTGTCTGTGCATAATGTCAAACTTTCACACATTTACTGAAATAAAATAAAATATGAATATTAGAAGGAAAAACGTTAGAAAATTAGAAATGCTGAAGCATTAAAATCACTAACTGGAAATAAATAGAAACTAAAAATGAACTAAAACAAAAACTGAGATAAACCTAAAACTATTACAAATTTCAACAGTACACAACAAAATAAAAAATAAAAAAAAGTAACAAATTAAAATGAAAAGTGAAAATATAAAAATAAAAGCTAATTCAAAATACTACTAAAAACTATAATGGTTTATAAATAACACTAAAATAGATGGTGTCTGTGTGTAACGTCACACATGAACTTCAGATTGCAGCAGGACCAATTAGTGAGAGTGAAGGTATTTAATTTCCAGGCTGGTGTCGAATTTCCTGAGGTCAGATCTGCAGAAACACAAACCCAACGCACAACACTGCTCTTCTGAACACACCAACACCCGCTTACAGACTGCGAGAGAGAGAGAGAGAGACAGCAGGCTCTTTGAACCGCGCAGATATACGGTTCCTCTATAAATCCAGCTAATGGATCCCCTGATACCTGCGGCTCTCAGACGCGGCACATCTGATCCTGACGAGCAGAGAATAACGCCAGCGACAGATCGGGACGTCTCTGTTTGAGCGCAGGACAATATGAGTTCAGACCGAGACGAAGGCACATCAAAGAGCAGAAGATCAGGATCCGCTTACAGAAACACCACACTATCACCACTCAAACTGTGGAGTGGCATGGAAATGTTGTGGTTTATGAATATGGTAAAGCATATTTTTGAGGATCTTTTGCATTGTGAATTTTTTTTTAGCACATTTTCCTGTAAAGCATAAGACATTTTACTTACATTTTACACTAAACTATTAAAACAGTTTTGTTATTTGAAATAAAGCTGGAATGCAATATGAATATTAGATTAAACTAGATAAAAACCTCAATGAAAATGAGAAACGTGGAAATGAATAAAAACTAAAAATTAACTAAAACTGAAATAAAATAATAGTAATATTTAATAAAAAAAATACACATTAACACATATCAAAATTACTCAAATTAAACTGAATTAAACTGAACTGAAAAGCTAAAACTTAAATTAAACAAATAGTAATATTAAAAAAAAAAAATTATTAAAATAAAAACTCAAAATATGAATTATATAAACTGTAATAGTATATTAATGATACTGGGACTGTATGGATGAGCATGACATGAGATCAGTTAAATTACAGTAGTGATGTAGAGATGGCGGATAAAAAACAAAAGAGGAAATTGGCTGCGGAACAAAAGAAGGCTTAAGGCAATAAGGCAAAAAGTAGGACCCGTGTAAATATCGAATCAGCTTTCCAGTGCTGGAGAGAACTCAAGGAGCGGAAGGCCTGCGATCGGACGCTGAGGTTGCTTTGTTTCTTCTCGAAAGGTGAGTAACACCGTGTCTGCGCCGCAACAGCTAAAGTCTGTCCTAGTACACTGGAAAGCGACCGTTGAAAATCATTTGAAATTTGTGTCAATGCGTCATAAATAGAACGCCGCAGCAGTTTTCTGTCGGGGATGTGTCGTGTCGTGCCGTGCCGCATCCAGTGTAGACCATAGATATGTGTATATAGATATATATCTGTGGTTTAGACCGCATCGCTGATTAGGAGTTGTATAGTATTTTGCCGCGCCACTCGTGTCCGATGTAGACACAGTGTAACATTGGTTTTGCTTTGTTTCACAGAACTAATCGTTGCCTGGGTTGCGTATGTATGTGTGGGGCGGAGCTATCAAAATAGGAGCGAGACCCTTTTGGGGTAGGGTTTGTTTTGGTGATTTCAAATGTCAACATTGGCTACGAGAAATCACTTACCCCACCTTTAAGTGTTGACTGGGGTGAGGTAATAAGAGCCAGTTCGGTTGATGCGAGAGTGGGTTCAGTAGTTCTGACTGCAGATGATCAGATGATGGTGTTGTACCTGCGCTGGTGTCCTCGGGGATGTCGAAGGAGTAGACTGCGCGTGAGAAGTGTGGCGTGTGATCGTTGACGTCGCTGACGGTGATGTTGATCCGTACATCGGAGGACTGCAGCCCGTCGTCGGCTCGCACCAGCAGCGAATACTCGGATCTGCGCTCGCGGTCCAGACGCCGGGTGTTCATCAGCTCGCCAGACTCGGGATCGATGCGGAAGCTGTCGTCTGCGCCGCTGATGATGGAGTACGTCACCAGAGCATTCGCTCCCTGCACACAAACCACCGGCACGTGATCATCTGACCTCATTGCATATCATGGATTAATGTGATCACACGATCATGTAGCTTCAGTCACAAGTAGGGTTGCAAAAAGGTGGAACATTTCCAGTAAATTTCAGAAACTTTCCAGGATTTTTTGGAATCTTCCAGGGATTTTTGGAAAGGTTTCAGAAATGTTCTACCCCTTTGCAACCCTAGTCACAAACCTCATTCAAACGGGAAAACAAGATTGTGTTTCTGCCCCCACTGGCAGACATTTGTTCCTTGTTTTAAGCAAGAACTTTATTTTGATCAGTTTTTCAGAAAACAAGAATGATTGGATATTTGTACTGAAAAACAAGACACAAATACTGAGAAAAGCAATCAAATCTGTGCGTAATGTCACACGTTTAATTGAAATAATGCTGAAATAAAATAAAATATAAATACTAGATGAAAAACTTTAAAAGAAAATGAGAAATGCTGTCTTTGGCAACTTACTAAAATAAGTTTACATTGAAGCATTAAAATGACTGGAAATAAATAAAAACTAAAACAAGAAAATAAATTAATATTAATTTATAAAAAATAAATGGTAATATTTAATTAAAAAAACTAATAAAAATGTCAAAATCACATAATAAAATGACAAAAAAATTAAGAAAATTAAAATGGAAATAAATAAAGCTAAACTAAAACCAACACTGAAATAAATAAAAAAATCATATAAATAAATAGTAATATTTAATAGTAATATTTAATTAAAAAAATAATAAAAACTGTCAACAGCACATAACAAAACTACAACAAACGACAACAAAAAAAACTACTAAAATTAAAATGAAAACTGAAAATATATATAAAAAAAGATAATTCATATTCAATATTATATAAATAATACTAAAATAAATAATCTGTACAATAAACGTGTCTGTGCATAATGTCAAACTTTCACACATTTACTGAAATAAAATAAAATATGAATATTAGAAGGAAAAACGTTAGAAAATTAGAAATGCTGAAGCATTAAAATCACTAACTGGAAATAAATAGAAACTAAAAATGAACTAAAACAAAAACTGAGATAAACCTAAAACTATTACAAATTTCAACAGTACACAACAAAATAAAAAATAAAAAAAAGTAACAAATTAAAATGAAAAGTGAAAATATAAAAATAAAAGCTAATTCAAAATACTACTAAAAACTATAATGGTTTATAAATAACACTAAAATAGATGGTGTCTGTGTGTAACGTCACACATGAACTTCAGATTGCAGCAGGACCAATTAGTGAGAGTGAAGGTATTTAATTTCCAGGCTGGTGTCGAATTTCCTGAGGTCAGATCTGCAGAAACACAAACCCAACGCACAACACTGCTCTTCTGAACACACCAACACCCGCTTACAGACTGCGAGAGAGAGAGAGAGAGACAGCAGGCTCTTTGAACCGCGCAGATATACGGTTCCTCTATAAATCCAGCTAATGGATCCCCTGATACCTGCGGCTCTCAGACGCGGCACATCTGATCCTGACGAGCAGAGAATAACGCCAGCGACAGATCGGGACGTCTCTGTTTGAGCGCAGGACAATATGAGTTCAGACCGAGACGAAGGCACATCAAAGAGCAGAAGATCAGGATCCGCTTACAGAAACACCACACTATCACCACTCAAACTGTGGAGTGGCATGGAAATGTTGTGGTTTATGAATATGGTAAAGCATATTTTTGAGGATCTTTTGCATTGTGAATTTTTTTTTAGCACATTTTCCTGTAAAGCATAAGACATTTTACTTACATTTTACACTAAACTATTAAAACAGTTTTGTTATTTGAAATAAAGCTGGAATGCAATATGAATATTAGATTAAACTAGATAAAAACCTCAATGAAAATGAGAAACGTGGAAATGAATAAAAACTAAAAATTAACTAAAACTGAAATAAAATAATAGTAATATTTAATAAAAAAAATACACATTAACACATATCAAAATTACTCAAATTAAACTGAATTAAACTGAACTGAAAAGCTAAAACTTAAATTAAACAAATAGTAATATTAAAAAAAAAAAATTATTAAAATAAAAACTCAAAATATGAATTATATAAACTGTAATAGTATATTAATGATACTGGGACTGTATGGATGAGCATGACATGAGATCAGTTAAATTACAGTAGTGATGTGAACTTTATGATTTCATGATTATGCTGTATAATTGTCTTCTGGATGTTTTAACATCTATTTATGAAGGTGAAACCATGGTTAACACTTTACCATAAGGTTCATTTTGTTAACATTAGTTAACATTAATAAATGCTTTAGAAGTATTTTTCATTGTTAATCTTAGTTAATGTTGATTCCAACATTTATTAATACAGTACATAATTAAAATCAAAAGTTGTATCTGTTAATGTTATTGAATGGACCTGAGCTGACATTAACTAATAATGAACAGCTGTGTTTGTATTAACTAACGTTAAAGCTGCAGTTCGTAAGTTTTGCCTCTTTGTCGCCATCTCTGTTTGAAACCTGCAATTGCAGCTGTTTGTGGCATTATCTTCCTTGCGTGGGTTGTGCTTCGGCGCGGATGAATCTAATGTTTTGAGGAGTATGTGTGGATACTATACTTCAGGATCACAGATTCTAGCCTACGTCTTGGAATTTATGACCCAAATAAGAATTTTCACCGTATATTGTCATCTGAACAAGTAAGTAACAAGTCTGCCACGTTTGTTCTGACCAACTGAGGAAAAAAAGCATTACAATAAATCGTGCTACCAATGGTGATTAAATCTAAAGATCGGTTAGCTCATATCACATCAAACTGTTCAAATTATTATTATTGTTATACTTTATTCTCAAATTGTTCATGTTAACAACATCAGCATTACGCGACTATGTGAATATAGTGTGTATAAGCGAGTAGATCGATTTCAATTTCTTTGAACCCAAAAAGCAAATTATGCTCCCTTCGAACTGGTTGTCTTTAAAATACAAATCTTTGTAATCCCAGGCTATCTATTTCAGATAATTTTTAACCAAAAAAAGTTACAGACTGCAACTTTAACAAAGATTGATAAATACTGTAACAAATGTATTACTCATTGTTAGTTAATGGTAGTTAATGCATTAAATATAGTTAACAAATGGAACCTTATTGTAAAGTTACCGTTTATCAGTGTGTTGCTCTGTGTGTTTGTATTTGTTGATTTGAAGACCCTAGCAACCGCATAGCAACACCTTAGCAACAGCATAGCAACTGTATAGCAACAGCCAGAACACCTTAGAAACAGCATAGCAACACCTAGAACACCTTAGCAACTGCATAGTAACTGCATAGCAACACCCAGAACACCTTAGCAACATCATAGCAACTGCATAGCAACACCCAGAACACCTTAGCAACAGCATAGCAACGGCATAGCAACACCCAGTACACCTTAGCAACAGCATAGCAACACCCAGAACACCTTAGCAACTACATCGCAACACCCAGAACACCTTAGCAACTGCATAGCAACACCCAGAACACATTAGCAACTGCATAGTAACTGCATAGCAACAACCAGAACACCTTATCAACTGCATAGCAATACCCAGAACACCTTAGCAACTGCATAGCAACACCCAGAACACCTTAGCAACAACATGGCAACTGCATAGCAACACCTTAAGGCCCGGGTATACGTCACTTTCCGTGTTCTGTCTCGCGCACACGGACGAACTCAACACAGGCGCAGTATCACCTACTTGACTTGCGCTCTGTCTCAATTTTCACCTCACGCATGCGCTGTTGTACACGGACCGTCCGCGTGGTCTCAAAAAATTGCCTGCACGCGGACAGGTTGCGCGGCTGTGTGTATACTTTGTATACTTTTTATACGAAGTATATTTTGGCCTTTAGCAACAGCATAGCAACACCCGAAACACCTTAGCAACAACATGGCAACTGCATAGCAACACCTAAAACACCTTAGCAACAGCATAGCAATTGCATAGCAACACCCTAGCAACGTGCAAAAAAAACCCCACACAGAGCACATTCTCAATGTCTTGGCAACTCCGAGCTCTGGTTCAGTCAGTCACTGCGTTCAGCTGTGTTTAGTGATTGGTGTCTAGTGGCGTCTTTGTCACGCGCTGGCATGGAGTTTGAGCTCTGGCTGTCCTGTACGGATGTGGGCAGAGATCGAGACAGGAATAACCCTGGACTCCAGTCACACATGTTGTTAGTGGAGCCCAAACATCCCATAATTCCTGCCCATCGTGCCAACATGAGATTCAGTTCAAGCTTTTCATTTAAAAAAACACTGGAAATGAACAACAGGAGAGAAAAATCACAGTTCAGATCACAACTGCTTCTCCTGGACTGGTTTATAATGATTTAAAATAGATTAAAAATAGTTACTATAGTTATATGAAAATATCTAATGCATTTAAAACATTTAATAATTAATGTAAATTGTAAACTGACAACTTAATAATTAGATGAATCACAATTAATATTTAAAATAATTAATCTTTTATATTCAGGCTCTTTGATTGTTATCTGATCCACATTATTTTTAACTATGTTAACTGTACAAAAACACTCTGTTATGCTGTTTGATGTTGCAAACTGGTATTTATCATATTTTAATTTATTATCATAATCATAAACACACCGGTTTGTAGTGCAAAAAGTTTTATTTAATGTAATTGTTTGCGGTGATGTGCATGATTAATTATTCTAAATACCAGTGTTATTTGATAATATTATTATTGATCAGTATTTTGAATTAGTTTTTATTTTTATATTTTCCATTTTCATTTTTGGTAGTTTCAGTAATTCTGTTGTCTTTTTGTCATTTTTATTAATTATTTTTTTCCAAATCATAATGTCTGTATACTTATTAATTTTTATTTTATTTACACATTTTTAATTATTTTAGTAGATCAAGTTACAACTTAAATGAAAATGAGAAGTTTTGCATTGGCAATTAGCTTAAATATATATTTTTTAATTATTATAACAATTTAAAAATTATTTCAGTCCACATTTTTTTAAATTAATAGTTTTTCTTATATCTTAAATTTTAGATAAGCAACCAGCAGAAATCGTTTTTATTATTATTTTTTAGTTAACATTTTATTTGAAGCAATTTTTATGCTTTTATCTTTTTTTATTAGTTATAGTTTTAGCTACAACAATCCTGCTAATGATCTGCTCTCTAATGAGAAGCCCCGCCCCCCCCCAATGCCACCTAACACCAACAGCCAATCATAGCTCACGGCTGGGACTCTATTAGTTATTTGTAGACGTGAGTTTGAGCTCGTGGGAGCATCAGATTTCTCTCAGCGTTGGGTTTAATATCGCAGCGTTTAGTAGTTCAGACTGGGAGCTGAACTCGACTGCTCGCTCTCTCAGGGAAACACGCCTCATCTGGAGATGAATCTGTGTGTTTGCCAGGCGAGAATCACTGGAAATGAGCTCTAGAGTCTGAATACCATCACAGAACATCACTCCTCCTCTTTCCTGATGATTAAAATCAATCTAGCGCTGCAGAAACACGGCAAACGTTGTGTATTGTCTGCGTTGTGTGTGTTTGGGGGCGGAGCCACACAGACTCCGCCCACACGTCTGCTAGAGCCATTATCATGTCAATCATCATGACTGACAGCTGTCATCTGTACCTCATCTGCGTCTGTGGCCGTGAGCTGCAGGATCCTGAAGCTGTCGCTGATGTTCTCCTGGATGGTGATGTCTAGCGTGTCGGTGGGAAAGACGGGCGGGTTATCATTCACGTCCTGTAGAGTGATTTCAACCTGAGACCGAGAGAGAGAGAGAGACATTAACACCCTCAGTCCAAACATCATTCAGCCTCCTGATATTTACACAGAGACCCAGTGATGAAATAAAACAGCCCGTGAATTACCATTTAATGCAATTGCCAATAGCATGATAAAAAGACAGCAATGTTTTTTTGATTAATCAAAAATTTTTTCTTATATATCTAATATATTTCTATTATGTGACCCTGGACCACAAAACTAGTCTTAAGTGTAAATTTTTTGAAATTGAGAAGTATACATCATCTGAAAGCTGAATAAATAAGCTTTCCGTTGATGTATGGTTTGTTAGGATAGGACAATATTTGGCCGAGATACAACTATTTGAAAATCTGGAATCTGAGGGTGCAAAAAAATCTAAATATTGAGAAAATCATCTTTAAAGTTGTCCAAATTAAGTTCTTAGCAATGCATATTACTAATAAAAAATTAAGTTTTGATATATTTACGGTAGGAAATTTACTAAATATCTTCATGGAACATGATCTTTACTTAATATCCTAATGATTTTTGGCATAAAAGAAAAATCTATAATTTTGACCCATACAATGTATTTTTGGCTATTGCTACAAATATACACCAGCGACTTAAGACTGCTTTTGTGCTCCAGGGTCACATATGTATATTCATTTATGCATGTGTGAATGTCATTTTTCAGCTCGAATTTAAATTTAAATAAATTAATAATTTATTAAATTGATTTATTAAAGTAAAATTATAAAAGTGCAAAGCTGACTGTTGCAACTTGTAAAATATGCCAATGTGTAAAATCAACGTTGCTACTTTGATTTAGTATCGAGATATATAGTATTTATTAATATTTTGAATTAGTGTTTATTTTTCTATTTTCATTTCAATTTCAAAGTTTAAGTCTTTTTCTGCCGTTTTTATAAATGTTTTAAATAGTTTTTTTTTTGTTTCATTTTTTTTTTATTTTTGTTTAAATTGTAGTTATTTTAGCACTTCAACTAGCTACAATAAAATACTTTTTTTTTTTTTCAGTTAACATGTAAGAGTTCAAGACGGTTAAGTAGTTATCGCTACACATTAGCGCATGGTTGCATGGCGCTAGCAACACCAAGGTCATGGGTTCGATTCCCAGTAAATGCATGAACTGATAAACAGTTCAATGCAATGCAGTTCACTTTGGATTAAAGCATCTGTCAAATGCATAAATGTTGATATTTTTTGTAGCCGTGCACTTTATTTGTTAAGTCGATATGCACACTGTAAAAAAATAAAAAAAAAAAGTTGTAAATAAAGATTATTGGTCTACATTTTACAAGAAAATACTATTTCAGTCTTTCAACTTCAAAATTTCCCGTTTGATTCAACATGCTACTTGCCCTTTTCTTTGCTATCATTTGTTCAATTTCTGAGTAAGTAAATCCTGCAGCAATATTTTTTCAGTGCAATAAATCAGTACAAAAATCAACATGGATTGTTTTAGGCTTTAATTATGAGTGTCTACGAAGTCTATGAAATATTTCATAATTACAACAACTCCATCAGCATGCAATGCAGCATTAATACAGAAATCAGCTGTTTTATAACGCTTTCAAACGTGACTCATTCAGTCAGATTTCATAATGCAACCATCCATCTCATATTCAATAACTCGCAGTTAAAACACATGAAATCAGACGAGCACAGCGGCCAGATCCCAAAACTCACACCTCGTCTCGTCCTGAAGAACTTGAATATCTGCTGCATTAAACATCACAGAGCCGTGAGCTCAGAAAAACACCAGACACAGAGAGAGAGAGATTCAGTATTCACTGCTGAGGAGGGGTTCCATCAGAACCGAAACACACCGTTTCTCTGCATTCGCTGTCTAAATATGAACACAGACGTGTTTCCGCATCAGCTGAACCAGCAAACACTCACTGATATCTCATTCTGATTTTATCATTATTATCACACATGCAGGTGACCAAAGACCGCACCTTTACTTCTGCAAGGTTAAGATTTCATTCTAAAAGCTTGAAGATTGACTCGTAGTGTTGATTCATGAAACACAACCCACACACGTTTATTCGATTCTAAAAACAAAATCATTTACGTTCCTGTACAGTATGAATAGCATGCAAACCCATATTCAAACTGAGTTCTAGATTTTGCTTTTTGATGAAAAATTAATTTAAATGTATACATTTTTATGAGTCTGATAATAATTTTAATTATTATTATTATTATTATTTATAAATTAAGTATTTTATATGATACATTTTACGTATTATACGATATATATTATATGTATTATACAATTACATATTATAAAATAATACATGAATACATTTATATTTGCATAAATATGTATATTAAAATAATATATGTGCTTAATATTTAATACATTTAGCTTTTTATCAACTTTCATTAACTTGTTTTATTTTGCCAGTTTTTTTTTACATTTTTAGGAAAACAATATTTACTACTACTACTACACCTACTAGTACTACTACTAGTAATACTAATAATTATTACTATTATAAAATAATACATGCATAAATTCATATTTGCATTACAAAATATTATATTTGCATAATTCAGAATTACTTAACTATTAGCTTTTTATCAACCTACAAACCCCAGTTTGGGAATCCCTGCTAAGTATGGATAGTATGCAAACTGTGATGCAACTCATAATCTCATATCTCCATATCTAGACTCATCTAGAGTTTCAGTTGAGCTCTAGAGCTTTATAATCTAAACGAGCTGAGCTCTCAGCTGAATAAGAGAGAAATATGAGGACACTCAAACACACACACACACTCACACTCACACTCACACACACACACACACAAACACACACACACTCTCACACACACTCTCACACACAC